TCATCAAACTTGGTGAGGCCTGTCTTAACAAGCTCTCTGCGGAGCATGTATTTAGCAAACTGTGACATGTCTATGTTTTCACATTTTGGGTGCATGACTGCAGGTGGAACAGAGTTGGTTGTGACGGTTGGTGGACTTACGTGGAGTGACTTGGGAACAAATGTTGCCGCTAAGTCTTTCAATGCCAGAACTGGCTTAAAGTCCATTGGCATGTTAGTTTGTAGGGTAGTGTGTTTGCTAGGAGGTACACTGTTGGTGCCAAAGTATGATGGACGGTCTATTAAATACACACCAGTGTCTGCGGCTAGCTGAGATGCTGCAGTCTGATGTATTGGAGGATATAAGGGCAAATTGTCTTGAGGTACAGTAGGTGCAGAGAAGAGACTTTGATTGAGTAGTTTGGCTGCTGTGACAGGGAGTTGACGTTCTGGAGAGGTGTGTGAAGAATCTAAGACATAAGATACAACTGAGTGTCTGGAACTGTTGCCTCTTTCATTTTCATTAGCGGCTTGTTCTAAGACCCTTAACCTTGCAATGGCTGTGGCATGCTCACATTTTTTTTCCAAAACTTCAATCTCTGCCTTTTGGTGTGTGGCTTCAGCTTCATTTCTGCGGCCTGAGCATTCATTTCAGCCTCCATTTCTGCGGCCTGAGCCTCCATTTCTACTTCAGTAATGTTTATCCCAGCTCCCCTGTACTCCATTATAGTGATATGACATGTATACAGTAATGTATATCCCAGCTCCCCTGTACTCCATTATAGTGATATGACATGTATACAGTAATGTATATCCCAGCTCCCCTGTACTCCATTATAGTGATATGACATGTATACAGTAATGTATATCCCAGCTCCCCTGTACTCCATTATAGTGATATGACATGTATACAGTATGTATATCCCAGCTCCCCTGTACTCCATTATAGCGATATGACATGTATACAGTATGTATATCCCAGCTCCCTTGTACTCCATTATAGTGATATGACATGTATACAGTATGTATATCCCAGCTCCCCTGTACTCCATTATAGTGATATGACATGTATATAGTATGTATATCCCAGCTCCCCTGTACTCCATTATAGTGATATGACATGTATACAGTATGTATATCCCAGCTCCCCTGTACTCCATTATAGTGATATGACATGTATACAGTAATGTATATCCCAGCTCCCCTGTACTCCATTATAGTGATATGACATGTACACAGTATGTATATCCCAGCTCCCCTGTACTCCATTATAGTAATATGACATGTATACAGTATGTATATCCCAGCTCCCCTGTACTCCATTATAGTGATATGACATGTATACAGTATGTATATCCCAGCTCCCTTGTACTCCATTATAGTGATATGACATGTATACAGTACTTACTCATTGAGTCCCCCACGGCGGTGGAGAGGGTGTCTCCTCTCAGCGTAGGAGAGCGGACCTCTCCTGCATCTGTCCCCTCAGTGGCAATGACGAAGAAGCCGGAAACCGGAACTCGGACACCGAAACTCGGCTTCACAATGAGACTTGGAGCGCAGCCGTTCCATCATCTGTGCTCGCCGCTAGAAAATTTCTCCTTGCATTTGGTGAGCGGGCGAGCGGCTTTTTCAAGTCCTGTGATAGATAATGATCACCTGCACTTAGGACACACCAATCAGTAGTGCACACTCAATATTAACCTCCCTAGCGGTCTGAATATGTCAGTATCTCTGTGCTCAAAGCGGTACATGGTTGCATGGAAATATGTTGTTTTATTATTGTAGGCCTGTAATTCTTAGGAATAACTCACTGAAATCTGTCCGAACAAGAGTCTAGTAAACATCTCAGGTATGATAAAATTTGAAACACGAAATCATAAATTAAATATATAAATAATCATAAATTATAATATAATAAATAATCATAAATTATTATAATAATAAATTTAATTCAATAATGTAATCAAACCAAAAACACTGAAATTTGAAATAGACCGCCAAGTTCGCACATCATTGAGCTTAGTCGCAAAATCGTTTTCAGTGTGATGACGAATTTCCCCACGAATCATTATCACTCAATTCTGCAAGTGGTTCTAATTTACTATCGCTGTTCTCTAGCTGGTCTAAAACCGCTTTTGACCTAAAGGGACACTTTTTGGATGCCATGGACATTTCTCAGTTTCCAGGCAGAAAGAACAGTAAAAATGCAGGCAGGGCACAGGACAAAGCACTCGGGACAAAATGTATGTGAGATGGTTTGATACAGTAATGTTATACTATGAGATTTTAGTGTATTGAGTGAATGTCACTTTTAAAATTTTTTAATTTCCCGCCGGTTCCGTCCCCTGTACGTCCCGACGCTTGTAGGGAACAGAACCTGGAAGATGGATGCCGGAATCGGCCGGAGGAGATGGCTGGGGACACTGCAGGGGGAACATCAGGGGAGCGCAGGACGAGGTAAGTGCCGGAGAGAATCCCTGAGCAACGCTGCAGGGTAATCCCGAGTGTAGCTCAGGGTTACCGCTTTTGGTACTGAAAGTTAACCCTGAGCTACACTTGGGAATACCGCCAGGATGGTTAAACAAAAAAAAACCAAAAACAAAAAAAATTATTAAAATAATTATTATTATATATTTTGTGTATAAAATTTAAAATATGGCATACGCCAATTGTGTTAAAAAGTGCTCAACCTAATTAAGTCCATCCAAAACTCACCATCTTCAATATGTGAAAAGTGTGTACTCCCAGGTGAGACACCACCATCCCCTCAGAGGTGACTGCTCTCCTTAGGCTTAGACCTTTAACAAGGAAACATCTGCTATTTGTATCTGCAAAGCTTAATTCTTTATTTAATACACTGTGCACCTACAGTACATGTTCCAGTTTAGATGTACAGGTTACATGAAGACATGTCAGAGCAAACAACAATAGTTATGTAAATATGCCAAATATGGCAAGGGAAGGTGCAGCGCATAAATCAATCGGTACATAAAAACCTCATAGTCTTTAAAAACTAATTAAAACCATAAAAGACAATCAAAAAACAATAATATATAAATAGATATAAGAGTCCCAATAAGAAAATTGTGTAACCTGAGGGTGCTATTCCAACGGGTTGTGCATATATACTGGAATCAACCAAAAAGTGGGAGGTGCTTAACATCCGATGGTGTGCGATAGATTAGTGGGATTGCAAACTCACCAGTCAAGGCATCACCCCTTCTGAGGACGTATTTTTATACACAATGCGTCAAGGAGGAGCCCCACTACCCAGTGACATCATGCCGCCGGATCAAGGAGGTCCGGCGGCCACCACTCTCTGCTGCCTGGTTAGTAACATTGGCAGCACTGACTAGCTACACCTGATTATATATGGAGTGTTTCTCGCTTCGCTTACCTGATTTTTTATCTACATGTGTGTACACCTTTTTATTCATATTTATAATTCTTTCAATAAACAACAAGAATACTACACTATGAGATCCCCTATTTTTTGCTCGACCATGAGCGTTTAAACCCTCAGGACCTAGGTCCCATTCTTCTGGAGGATTGATTAACTCCCCTATGACCAGATCACCCATGAGAGGAACCTCTGAGTGACCTCACCTTAAGCACCCATACCATCAGAGGGAAAGATTTCCAGAGCAGACCAGGCTTCACTGCAGGGAGATCTCCAGGCCGGCAACCATTGGCTAAATGCGCATTAATATTGCGCTTCTGGTGAGTTTGCAATCCCACTTATCTTTCGCACACCACCGGATGTTAAGCACCTCCCACTTTTTGGTTGATTCCAGTATATATATGCACAACCCGTTGGAATAGCACCCTCACGTTACAGAATTTGGTTATTGGGACTCATATCTATTTATATATTATTGTTTTGATTGTCTTTTATGGTTTTAATTAGTTTAAAGACTATGAGGTTTTTATGTACTTATTGATTTATGCGCTGCACCTTTCCTTGGCATATTTGATCTTATTGACAGGACTTGTAGTTCCTTTTTTGGTGCATTCAGCTGCTACTTTCGTGAGCGCTCGCTGATTCTCTTTGTGTTAATAGTTATGTAAAGTCAGGATAGACTAATATAGCCCAATTACTGGGGGAGTGATAGTACACAGATGAGAGAACAGAATGGGTGGTTAACCGTATCTACCAGTAAATCAATTTTTTTCACCATAATAAGGCATTTCAGCTAATGTCATTTTGATAAATCCTTCCCATCCCTTTCTGAAATCACTGTCATGGCAGTCCTTTATCCCTGCATATATAACAATGAAATGTCTCTTTTCTTCTTACCAGGTAGATGATCACTCTCCTTCTCCGTGGTCTCTTTGCATTCTTCAGAATATGGGAAAACACAGAAGTATGCAATGGCAACTCTCTATTTTGGGTATCTAGTACTATGCTTGTCCTAGATGGGTTTTCTGAGCCCTGTTACCACAAGGTAACCAATATTGAAGACAACACTAGGTCATCAGGATTTTGCCCAGTTTCCAGGACTTCTGCTCTGAAACTATCTATCTGTGTAATGATATCAAATACTGGGCACATGAAAAGCTGTGTCTGTTCAAGAATCATAGGTCGGCCATGACAGTTTTGTAGAACAGTTACACATTGCAGCCCCAAATATCGTGGAATGTACCTCCATAGCCATAACTTAGTCACATTTCAAACAGCCTGTTATCTCAACTTAGGGACAGCAGACACCAGTACACAGGCCTTTGCCAGTGTCTGATTTCTGCTAACCATAAAAATCTACTGATCATCACTCCCCTTTGACCCATCATAAAACAATCACAAAATCCTTCAGTTCTGTCATCCATGGTTTTTAGGGCAATAAAACCCATTAGGGATACACTGTGTGCAGTAAAATATCTTAACCGCCTCCCGCCCGCCATATAGTACAATGACGGGCGCAAGGTGGTTCTCTTGTTCTGGGAGGACATCATATGACGTCCTCCCATTCTAACCGCTCATGAGTGGCTCCGGGAGCACGCAGCGCAGCGATCGGCAGTTCGCTGTGTCCCTCGGACACAGCGGATCACCGATCAATGGAAAGAGCCGAAGATGTCGGCTCGGTCATGTGATCAGCTGTGTCCAATCACAGCTGATAGCATGTAAATAGGGAAATGCCGGTTATCTGCATTTCTCTCCTCACGAGCTGTCACGCTGACAGCTCGAGAGGAGAGCCGGTAATCGGCATCCCTCAGAGGGGACATGTACACTGATCATCAGGGCACTGATGATCAGTGTGCCCTGATGATCTCTGTAGCCCCAGCAGTGCCACCTGTCAGTGTCCATCAGTGCCAGCTGTCAGTGCTCATCCATGCCACCTGCCAGTGCCCATCAGTGCCACATCAATGCCACATTTCAGTGCCTACTAGTGCACATCAATGCCACATATCAGTGCCCATCTGAGCTGCCTTTCACTGTCACGCATCAGTGCCGGTCAGTGCCACCTATCAATGCCAGTCAGTGCCACCTATCAGTGCTGCCAATCAGTGCCGCCTATCAGTGCCCGTCAGTGCTGCCTATCAGTGCCGCCTAACAGTGCCACCTAACAGTGCCAGTCAGTGCCGCCTATCAGTGCCAGTCAGTGCTGCCTATCAGTGCCACCTATTAGTGCCATATATGAGTGCTGCCTTTCAGTGCCCATCAGTCATGCCTGTCAATGCCTATCAGTGCCACCTACCTGTGCCTCCTCATCAGTGCCCATCAGTGCCACTTATCAGTGTCCATCAGTGCAGCCTATCAATGCCCATCACTGCAGCCTCATTAGCGCACATCAGCAAAGGAGAAAAACCACTTATTTACAAAATTTTATAACAAAAAGTAAGAAAATTTAAAAAAAAAAAAAAAAAATTTTCAGTGGTTTTTGGTTTAAGAAAAAATAGAAAACCCATTGGTGATTAAATACCAAAAAAAGCTCTATCTGTCACAAAAAAAGATACAAATTTTATATGGGTACAGTGTTGCATTACCACGCAATTGTCATTCAAAGTGCAACAGTGCTGAAAGCTGGAAATTGGCCTGGGTAGGAAGGGGGTATAAGTGCCCTGTAGGCTATTGGTTAAACAGGGTTAACGGAGCTTGTAAAGCAGTCAGGCAGACCCCCTGCCCAACTCAAAATTTCAAAAACTATATACAATTCATAACAGCAGACAGGACCAAGACACATCATTATTAAGTATATGCATTATATTGCCAAAAGTATTGGGACACCCGTCCAAATCATTGGATTCAGATGTAACAATCACCTCTATGGTTACAGGTGTATAAAATCAAGCACCTAGGCATGCAGACTGCTCCTACAAACATTTGTGAAAGAATGGGTCACTCTCAGGAGCTCAGTGAATTCAAGCGTGGTACCGTGATAGGTTGCCACCTGTGCAATAAGTCCATCTGTGAAATTTCCTTGCTACTAAATATTCCACGGTCAACTGTTAGTGGTATTATAACAATGTGGAAGCAACTGGGAACAACAGCAACTCAGCCATGAAGTGGTAGGCCACGTAAATGACAGAGCGGGGTCAGCACATGCTGAAGCGCACAGTGAGCAGAAGTGGCCAACTGTCTGCAGAGTCAATAGCTAAAGACCTCCAAACTTCATGTGGCCTTCAGATTAGCATAACAACAATGCGAGAGCTTCATGGAATGTGTTTCCATGGCCGAGCAGTTGCATTCAAGCCTTACATTACCAAGTGCAATGCAAAGAGTCAGATGCAGTGGTGTAAAGCACGCCACCACTGGACTCTAGAGCAGTGGAGACATGTTCTCTGGAGTGATGAATCAAACTTTTCTGTCTGGCAATCTAATGGACATGATTGAGATTCGAACCAGCGACCATAGTACTGCCAGGCAGAAATGCTAACCATTTAGCCACTGTGCTGCCCCTGTATGATTCTGTATTCCACTGTGACCAGGCTGGCACCTCATTTACCTCAGTCATTTTATTTTTACAATTATGATGCAATGCTGTCCATACCCTCCTGCCATAGGTTTCATGTATTGGTACTGACCAGTCAGTAGACTTGGCAAATTTGTGCCACTTCTTCAAATACATAACAGCCCACTTTTCATAGTGGGTTTTAACTCCTCCCTAGGAGTTGTGGTGGCTTTACTCAATTTAGTTCCCCCTCCTAACTGATTATCCATGGTGTACAGTATGTCAGCTGGAACCTCAAGCCGATCAATCCAACTAACCCACACAGAAGTAGTTCCCAGTCCACATAAGATTGGGGCTAGACTTTGTGTCCACAATCTTTCAGTCCACACAGGATTTGGTCCCAGTCCACACAGGATCTTAAATCAACCCCTTGCTCCAGGAAACTTCCCTGTACAGTGGTTATTAACACTTTAAATGGCACTTTCTTAACGTATGAATTGCAAGTGACATACTGTACAAGGAATCCTCTTTGCCCAAAGAAACGGTATCGCTACAAACAGCAAAGCATACAAATATTGTGTCAGCTAGTATTCTTAAGCCCCGTACACATGAGAATATTGGACAAATGATCGTCCATTTTTTTTTTGCATGCTAGTCTCATATTAAAAGTGCAGAGGTTACTAAAGGTACGAACATTCTTGTACTACAGAAATAACATTCGGAATTAATAATAACTGTGCTGATTAAATGAAAATCTGGTATCATACAAGAAAATTTTTCATGCTTGTCCCTTCAAATACTTTCGGACGAAAGCTGTGTACCAATAATCAGATTATCGTACGATCACTTCAAAAGGGGTATATTTCGTATGATTTTCTGATCATGTGTACTAGGCTTTAATGTCTCACAGCTCTCATAAAACACAAATGGTGACAGAAATTAATTCCTTTGCCAGTGTACATTGGCAAGAGTTACATAGTCTCCAGAACAGGCTTGTATTGTCAAATTCTTGGGATCGCCTGCTGGGTGCTAGTGGTTTAAGGAGAACTATTGCCAGCAGTATCCAGGCAATAGCTGAAAATATAACTGTAAATATTCCAGTTATGAGAAGGGGTGTTGTACACCTGATCTGAGTATTGTTCATCTGACAAGGGGAGATACAAAGCAAGTGCCTCCACCAACACTTTTGCTATTTCCTTTGCCTTTGCACTCTTCTTATCTGATGTCAAAAACAGATCACTAAGACTGAGGCTAGGAGACCCAACCCCACAGCTGTTGCTTTTAACCACCAATACATGTGGTTCCTAATTACAATTACGTAGCCAACACTACATTATAATTGCGCCACTTGGCACCGACCCGTCGCTAAGTGATAACTGCGTAGCTTGGCACCACCCACCAATAATTTACAACTGTGTAGTTTGGTACCAAGCCAGAGCCTCTCAAAATGTATTGTCCTGCTATCAAACCACATGGCTGCAGTTCTTTTGCACAGATAGCTGAATGTTAGTAATATACGACAGACGTTTTTTCTTTTTTCTCTCGCTTATACATAACGTCCACTTACTGCAGACGTTTATAGCAACCACATCATTCAGCTACATATATGTTTTCTTGAGTGGATGCCATAGGTGAAATATCAGGATCACCTTATTCTTCTTGAGGCGGAGCCTTGGAGCAAGCAACTTTACTAGCTGCCGCCTCTGGAACCTGCTCTTACAAGGTTAGTTTCATATATAATAGACACAAACAAAAAAGACACAAAACAAATAACTGCTAATGGAGGTTCTTGGATGGTATATAGACCTGCAAATTGGCTGACAGTAAAACAGGCCAGAGCCTCTAGACAAATATCAGTAAGACCACTCACCAAGGCCCCACTTCTAGGGTCTGTGCCGTCAGTACAATCAGCAAATCCAGGTTTCAACTATCCGAGTCACGGCACCATCTGAATACGGATTCTTCCCAAGCAAACTGCAACAGTTTTTGGGTAGCTTCAAATCAGATAAGATTTTTATGTGTTGGGAGGTCAGCTTACAAGTAAAACGACCACCAACCAACCCCATGGATCGTATAGGTTTATAAGCTCTGCATTCAAGATAAAACAAATCACACATCATTGGTCATCATACCAGTTACATTAATGATTTCCATACAATCCCAGGGCAATATGTTATTAGTCATGCCATGAATGCCCATGCCAACAGTATGCTCTGGTCCACGACTTTACAGAATTACCATATTGTCGCTCTTTCTAAAAAATCCCCCTTATCACTTACAGACATACCCTCAAGTCATAAGATGATGATACAGCAATATTTCTAATTTAAAACATGTTTACCATGTTTTCATGTACATTTATTAAGCTTATAATAAAAATATCTGTAAGATGGATGACACTACTACAAAATGTGTGATTCAACAAAGGATCATCCTACAATTCCCTACACAAAAGCAAAAAAACATTTTGACAAATTGACAATTTGTAAGAAAAAAAAATTATATAAGTTTCATTTGGGTACTGTTTTGCATGACTGAGCAATTGTCAGTTAAAGTAACACAGTGCTGAATAGCAAGAAATGGCCTGGTCATGAAGGGGGTAAAGCTTTACAGAGGTTAAGTGGTTAAAATCCCCTTTACATTAGAGTTACCATGGAGTCTCTTACATTAGGGTTCCTATTAGAGTCCCTCTTACATCAAAGGGCTGGATAAAATCTTGCAGCGAGCCATATTCAACCAGTGGGTCATAATTTGGAGACCTGTGCTCTAAGAGTTTGAGATTTTAGAAATATCAGTTTAATCCCAGAAAAGGGACCCTTAAGAGTGAAACATCATTAACTGCTGGAAGATTTGTAAATTAAAGAACAGGCAGACCAATTATTAAAGCTAGAAAGCAAAGTTTTCTTTGAATTGTCCTTTAATTTTCAGCACACTTGAAGATACCCTCTAAATAAATAATAATTTCAATACACTTCAGTAGAATCTTCAGGTGAAACCAAAATCTGAATTATCTATGTTTATGTTATCATGAATGATGACCCAGCAGAACCCATCTGGTGTCCCAGAAGGACTGACAGAGGAAACCTCAGTCCCCTATTGTGTTATATGTATGTTGTATACTGTAGTTACTCAGGTTAAAAAAAACACTCGTCCATCTTTTTCAACCAATACAGAAAAAACACACAAACACAATTACAAAACCTCCATATATACTATCCTATACCCACAATTTATACAGAGGAAGATAAAAAAAAAAACCCCAATAAAGCATGATCCAATTTGCTTCAGTGAGGAAAAAAATTCTTTCCTGATCCCCCAAGAGGTTGACATTCCCTGGATCAACTACCCCTGTCGTTATTACCTTTAAATATTGGTATCCAGTTATATTTTGGGCATTTTGGAATGCATCCAGGCCTTTTTAAATCAATCTTCTGAGCTGTCCAGAACCAGTTTTTAGCCACCTCAATACTGGGCACTTTTACCCCCTTCCTGCCAGGACAATTTTCAGCTTTCAGCACTGTTGCACTTTGAATGTCAAGTGCACAGTCATGCATCACTGTGCCCAAACCAAATTTTTATCAGTTTGTTCACACAAATAGAGCTTTCTTTTGGTGGTATTTGATCACTACTGGTATTTTTATTTTTTGCTAAATTAATGAAAAAGGACCAAAAATGTTGAAAAAAAAGTACATATACTGGATTTGT